TTTAAATTAAAATTAGTCCCTATATGGCTCATAATTTAATACCAAACGGATTATTATATTGTTTAAGCTGAATTGGTAAAAATAATTCTAAAAACTAAATTAGTTTTTCTTGCCAATGGGTGGTGACTTATAAAGTTAAAAATACTAGCTGAAAAAATATGGAAATTCTTAGTCAAATATCAAATAGATACATATTATTATATTAATACTATAAAAATATGTATATCAGTAAACTACTGAACTCAGTACCTATTATCCTCATCGTTTATTTTTATTAACTTCAATTCTCTTCTGAAGTTATCATCATTTTAATATGCGAGGTAGGTACCGAGAACAAGAAAAAATTTAAATATCTAATCAGATATAATGGGAACCTTTTTACTGCATCATAACGGCTGAGTAATGGCAGTCAATCCAGCAAGGGATGATAAATGTCCTGTCGTAGAAAAAATTAATCAATCAGAAAGAACGGTATAATTATATTAATATATTATTCACATTGTTCACATTATTGACATTATATTATTGAATTCACGTACAACAAAATTATTTATTTTACATTCAAACGTCACAGCATCCAGCATATTACACAGAAGCCATCAGACTCCGTTTGATCATACGCATTCAGCGAAAGTCTGATTGAAATTCGAATTTTGTTTACAAATAAATCCTATGGTTTCCTATACTAAAATAAGTAATATATAATGTATCGTAACAGCAGTCCTCTATTTTCCTTCTAAATTATTCGACCCCCACTATAACAATATAATAATTCAACAGAACTATAATATAGTTTATCGTATATGAAATCTATGCATAGGATGTTTTATTAATAACAGACAAAATTGATGATGTTGCACAGTAATAATGTTACTATAGATATTTTATTTTACTTTTTTTTAGGATTTTCAAAACCTGATACGGAAGCTATCGTTTAATATTCATTTCGCAAAATTTTCATCTCAGTGCACAGCATAATGCATCTAACTTGATCGTGCAATATATTTCAATTTGCGCTTGCGGATCGCGGATGAGACGCGGACGAGGCGACGATTCAACCGTCACATTTAGCAAATAATTAAAAAGCAGCTAATCTGAAAGAGAAAACAGAATCCTGCACCCGTAATTATTGTTGTATAAAACTGATGACCGACGGAAAATATTATCTTGCAAGTTACCCTCGCGTTACGGATACCTAGGTATATTTACCGCATCAATGGTTTCCAGCAAACCATGTCGTGTCTCATGTACCTATTTAATAATTAACAATACGTACTCAACACAAAATGTCGGTAACACGTTACTTATATTCAAGTCGAATACACGTCACGGTGTATATATAGTGGAAATCCGACTTCGTACGATTATTGGACGTCAGCCGCCTAGGCCGAGCTCACTGCAGTTGGGGCGGATGTGTACTTCACTGTGAAATTTGCGAACGAACGCTTCTGAAAAGTTGGTCCCGATACATGCTATATTGGTACTGAATATTACACCTATAGACTATCGGCGGTATTCTGACGAACATCAAACGATGTTTTGGTAAACGTTTTTGCATAAGTAGTCATTCCGTCACAAATATCCTAAGTAATATAAACATTTATTATATTATGTGTATAATAATATTGTGTGTAACTATATATTAAGTAAACACTAAATATTACATACCATGGCTAAGTACTACATATTTACATGAACATCWATTTGTTCATTTATAATACTATAAATAGGCAATATAACTAACTTAAAGTTTATTATCATTAAGTTTAATCTAATTACAACAATTAATTATAATTTAAAAATATCAATATGTTTATAAAAATTGCATTTTATATTTAATTATGTTCAAAATAATATAATTGTTGTACTCTCGTATTTAAAATAAACGTCAAAAATATTGTTGGTCTAAACGCGTCTCCAACAATGATAAAAATAAATTGTTATTATTTTTAAACTCCAATTCTTGCATTGTTTATATTAATTTTTAAATTTCTATTGCTTTATAATTGTCGAGCTAAATAAAAAAAAACTAAAAAAAGAAATTGTTAAATGTATAGAAAAATATTATATTCATCTTATAAAATGTTATAAATTAGCAASGATAAAATAATCACTAACCTGGATCGTCCAACCCTCTTGAACACTGGTATAACCTCTCCCYCCCCCATGAAGTTAAAAGCCCTTTCAATAATTAAAAACACAAACGTCTATAAACTTTTATATTATTAATCAAACAATTAAMCCAGAAGTGTGAACACAGATAGTTCATTATAAGTAACTAAAGGGCCTTGCCTCTTGTTGCTTTGCTCACCAACCATCTGAGGGGGAGGGGGGGTTAAAATTACCTGTCAACACAAGCCGACTCCCCACGGGGTCCATTACATTTTGGAATTTAAAATACTCAAACAATGTTTTTATATACCTAACCACAYGCAGTGACTAAAAGAAATAGTAAAATAATTAACACTAATGTAATTACTAATTATTACAACCATTATATTCTACTTATGGAACTTAGTTTTTAATTAATTAATGATTTAATTAGTCATAATATGCCAAAAAAAAATATATATATATATATATTACTTTGAAAAATATTGGTAAGTTCTCTACAATTGATTCATTAAAATATGTTTAGAGATTTTTCGTATAACCCGACATAAGTTTTAATAACTATAATTTATGCTATAAGCAAGTAGGTACCTATCTATTGACCAGCTAGGTCTAAATTTAGGTATACCTTCGGGCTTCGTTGGCAATATTGTGATAAACAGTTCCCACCCGTCCCTGGTTTTCGAACTCGAAAAACAAAAAGGTATTACCTAATTTTGTTGTATGAATAGTATATTTTGTCGATTAAAATTTATTAGGTATTTTAGATACGGATGTGTTTTTTTTTTGTCTCTAGCTTCACAAATACGCGTTATATAACGTAAATAGTTACGTAATTTACACGAACAACAACGCATACTTCTTACAATATATCTGTTGATATTATAATACTAAACATCATCTACATAATATTAATATAGTATGTATAAAGGTACATAYTGTACGAAAAATCGTACACAAACTTAACACATATATATTTTTTCAAACACCCATTAAACACAAATTGACGACGTACAGCAGTTATATATTCCAGGTGCAAATCGCACGCGCGTGTCGAACAAATAAAAATATGTACAAAGTTGCGTTATTCGTAACGGCGAAACTTTGGTGTATATATGTTTATAAATATTATATAATATTATGCATAATTATTATCGTCCGACACGCGATATCCATCAACAGTGACTCGCACAGCAGTGCCTACTCGTGAAATAAATCGGTCATTTTATTTTTATTTAATGGTGCACCATAACACGTTATACTTAGGTAATGTTCTAGTGATATATAAAATATATACCAGAGATATTGAAATTGAGCGTTATAGCGGCTCCCAAGGGCATCACGAGGGTTTGCAAAGGGAGCCTTGTATAATTATTAWAAATATTATTTGCAATCATCATGGAAATGAAAACGATACGCCTTACGACGCGATAATTTGAAGTTTTATTTCTAATAGTAAAGTCACATGTTATTATCGCCCATATACATATGCATAACATATTGGCCGTAGTGTATCCATGTGTCGTTTCAATTYTTTCAATGTCATTCGGGAGCCGTAAAAATATTGTGAGCACCCAAAGAAGCCGCGGGATGAAGAAGTTTGAATACCTCTGCAATATACGTCAGATCATATAAAACACGGCGAAACCTCCTACATGATGGACATCTCAGAATAGTGGACTTTTTTTTTTTGATGACCAACAACAAAATTAATTGTTGGAGAAAATTTCAGTGACTGACRGTGTCCTGTATTTATTATTCAGAGGTTCAAATAAATTTTAGACGCCAATTAGTTGAGTTATTTGATGTGCGAGGTCTGCGGGTATGTCGAACACTAAAGACAACAACGATAATATCTAGCTATAGTGTTATGTGATTGTAGCTCCTCAGTGGCTGAAAAAGTTATGGAAATATAAAGCTCGAGTAATTTGAGTAAAGTCGATATGTATTAGGAATTTAGGAACGTTCAATAACATAATATTTTTTTAATCGTTTATTTAAATATACACTGCAATCTGTAAATGTTGTTTTACAATAAGTGCATGTGATGGAGGTGACATGGCTTGAGATAAGAAGCCGCCCATTGGAGGCATTTAAGGTTAGGATTTTAATTTGCTAGTAAGAGAGGACGGGATTACAAAATTAAGGGGAGGTARGGRTATATACAATTTTAGATTAGTAAGTCACGACACCAGGTACGTTATTTAGACGCCTTCTGGGGTCACCAGGAATAGCGTTGGTAGATAGCTCGGAAATCAGGGGATTACGATGGCTGTGGAACTTGGAGTGTGTGCGTTTGCAGAAAGTTTTTGCGACGTTTTGGACTGTTGGGATGGCTAGATCCTTATGTAGAGTTTCGTTAGATACATAGTAGGAAGCTTTAGTTATTTGACGGAGACATTTAAATTGAAAAATTTGAATTTTGTTTAAGTTGGACTTTTTGGCTGCACCCCAGAGTTGGATACCGTATGTCCAGATCGGTTTGAGTAGGTGTTTGTATAATAGTAGCTTGTTTCTTAAGTTGATGTGTTGTAATGTGAGGAGAAAACGTAATTGGCGAGAGCGATTATTTAAGGCAAGTCTTTTGTTGTGGGTGTGAGTTGCCCAAGTTAACCTGCGGTCTAAATATAGACCTAGGTATCGGACATTTTGGGCGGTTGGGAGAGGTACATTGTTGAGGTAGATGGGAGGGCAGACTATTTGCCTTAGTGTGAACGTACAATGGATGGATTTTGTTTCGTTGATTTTTTATTCCCCAGTCTACCAGGTTGATAAGAGATTGAGATGGTTTTGTACGAGATTAGAGGCTTATTACATAATATACATAGGTATTAATTAACGAACAACATGTAATGTAACTCACAATGTTAAGCTGTATACTATATTATAATATCTCGTATATAAATAGTTCAATTCATGCTTATGGACTAGTCTGTATATGATAAATTACATMTATTAGTTATTATAACAAGCTGTCGTCTAAATAACAAAAAACATCGAAAACAATAAATTTTAAACTTTAATAAAAAAGTTGTACTCAAATTKTAGAAGAAAAAAACGTGCAGAATATCAAACAGTCTTATAAAATAAATATTTCATGTAAAGAATAATTTCTTTTTTAAATTCTTTATACACAATTCATATTCATCTATACATAAATTGCTAATGTATAATATATAAATGTAGACTGCATATCAACATTCAACACTATGCGCCGTGTTGACCAGACCGATTTTTTGCAGGATTCGTCAAAGATGTAGACGTCAATCATCGAGTTCGGTCTTCGTTCACTTCGGTGGAGARAGCGGATATCGGCTACGTGAAGAGAGGCGCAGCTGATCGCTGGTCAATCGACCGACCGACCACTTTCCGCGGCGTATCACGAAGTCTCCATGAACTCGACCGGCGGCATCGGCGACAACGAAGATTCGCGACCACCACCGCCGCCGTCGTGTCCATGCTCTTGGTCGTCGTCGTCTTCGTCTTCGTCGTCGTCGTCGCGGCGTCGACGGTGACGGCGATTACGCGATTCTGACTTGCACGCATTCGCTGAGGACGCGTTCTTCCGTCTGCCGGTCGGCGGCGTCTCGATCCTGGTGTTGACATTTAACATGCCCATCTGGCCCAGAAACAGAACTTCGTTGACCAGCCGCTTGGCGATGATCACCGACTGCCTGTCCATCTGCCGGAGCTCGTTGGCCGCGTACCTGCCAAAACCGTCGTAGTAGTCGGCCACTGGAGGGTCGGCAGGGTCGCCACCAACGCCACCCAATATTTGAGGTTCGTAAAAGTCGGCGGTTCCGGTATTGCCCGAGAACCGTTCCAGTGGCGTCAGCGGCGGCGGCGGTGGCGGCGCTCTGCTGGACAGTCCGTTCGGCGCCGCCGACACGTCCAACACCCGTCGCCGTCTTTTGGGTCTCTTGACGCCATCTCCGGCGCTGGTGTGCAAATTGCTGCTGGTCGCGGTACATGGCTGTTGGTACTCGGGTTCGGTGGAACACGAGTCCTTGTCTTCGGACCCAGCTCGGTCATCGACTTCCTCGTACACCAAAATGTTTTGCGTCTGTAATTTCGTAAATATATGTATGTAGTAAGGTATATATGGTAGTGTAGGGCTGTGTTTTAATTAGGTTGATGACTTTTTTTCTTTTGAAATTTTGAAACTTTTATTTTATATTTTTATATCTAATGTTATAGATATTTTTGGTGTTTAAACGACTTCTCTCATATTTCATACTTTTTCCTATTATGTCTTTAATAATTTCCATCGATTAAAACTTTTTTAGATGGATTTATAGTGCAGTTTTTGAGATTTTATGTGCATATATAATGTTTTTTAATACATTAAATTCACAACCCTAATATTATAATAAGTAGGTATACAGGAGTACAACTTTAAAATCTAGAATACGATTTTTAACCATCAGTTTTTGATCATTGATTGATAAGGTTCGTTCTAATTTCTAKATTAGGTTAGGAAAATCGAGTGTTYTGCAATAAAATACATGATATGATCAAAARCAAAATGTTTGTTACTAACTGTTTATCTTATGAATAATAGGCATTTAAGCTTAAAGCACCATTTAATTATATAAATAACAATAAACGTTTGATGTAACATAATCGGAGTTACAGAGTATACGATTGTGCAATTGCAGTCTTCCATCATTTATCAAATATTCAGATGATCGTGCAAGTTGAAGTCAACGTTTTGACTGCAGATTACAACATAAATAAAATATATGATTAGYTTTTGTATTTTTTTAACTCTCAGTGGAAAATAAAATATAAAATTTAAGAAACTAAATATAATGATTGAATAGTGACCAGTATATCCGTTTTAAAAACTTAATTAAAAATAGTAAAACTTAAATAATTATTGTTACATTAAACAACGATATAATAACAATAACAAATTACGATTATAAAATG